TTGTTTCGATCGAGGACAAAATGGTCTGTATTGACTTTTGTATGGACGAGCACTCTACAGCGGCCCAGAACGTTGCCAATCTTAGCCTAAAACGAATCTTGGAGCGCTCAGCAGGACGCGTGGACACCAACGTCGGCAGTGACACATCGCTGGAGCCTTCGCGTGTGACGAGAAAGACATTTGAGAGATGCAAAAGGCGGCAATTGCAGATGACTAAATGGTGGAAAGTGTCCCCGCTGGAACTCGTCGACGAATGCGACATCGATGGCAGTCGGCGCCTTGGATGCAACCCCGCCCCGTGTGTGCGCTTCGTCGCTTCCAACACGTTCTGCAACCGCACCGACAACTCCAGCCCCTGAAGCCTACGGGCGCGAGGTACGTCGCCGGGTCGTCGCCAAGTCGCTGGACCTTTCAACTTGCAACGCTCGCCACACGGCTCAGTTGGCGGCCGTCAAGTTTGACTGCGCGATTCAACTGGCTGCTACAAACGTCAAGATCAACGCTGCATTCAAGGCCCAGTGCGTCGTCCTGCACAAGTGGAACCTAGCGTTGGTGCACAAAGAGCTCATGCGTCGAGCGACAGTGATGGAGGCAACGGACGACATTGCTGCTCCTCCACGTCTGCTCTCTGCAGTACCGAAAGGAGAGAGCACCACGGCTACCAAGATGCCGACGATGGCGGCGTCCGTGGCTCGTCTCGCAGAGCAGATCGTGCGGGCTCGGGCGTGCATCGCGAGCACCGTCCAAGTTGCCACATGCAAGAAATAACACTCTCATTTCCTCTATCCAGCTTCTCATACACAAGTCACATACCACATCTGCAAGGTCCCTCATCATTGGAATTCGAACGATCGTGTTGAGCTGTAGCTGCTACGAGTCTGTCCTCGAGGCGATTGTATTCAGCTACCCCACTAGCATGAGAACCCGTCCACTGAAGAGAGTTCGTTCGCGTGAATGGTCTGTCCCTAACCCTCTCCAACTGCAACCTCAGTCATGCTTCTACATAGACCGGACGAGACAACGTCGCTTCCTTACCCTAAACTCGCGCCACAATGGCTCCTACGGAGTCGAGATTATAGTCGAATATTGCTAGCGATCGACGAGCGCCAGCAAGAAGGCGAGAATGGCGCCACCCTCCTTCCACTCGCAAAATGCAGCTTAAGGCGCATTTTGGCCAATCGGCGGCCGCCGTGCCATTGCTCCAATCACAATCGATTTGACGGCTTTCCGGTCTTGCGATGGCAACGATATCGGACCCGCAGGCCCGGCGGCTCCTCGACGCCGTCGACGTCGCCAAGCGCGCGCTCGCAGCCTTCGACGCGACGCCGCTCACGCCGCCTTCCGTCGTCGTCGTGGGCATGCAGGCGGCGGGCAAGTCGTCACTTCTCTCGCGCATCGCCGACTTCCCGTTCCCGCGCGGGACGCACGATGGCGCGTGCACGCGCGTGGCGTACGAGCTCACGCTGCGCCGCTCCGACGCGCACGAAGCGCCGTCGACCAAGGTGCTGGCGCATAAGGCCGCGCTCTCGGATTTCGTTTCGAAGGAGCGCCTCGAGTACGCGCAGAGCCTCGTGCTGCAGGGCCAGAGCTACGACTGCCACCACAAGGTCCACGTGATCAAGACCGACGCGTACCTTCCCGAGGCCATCCTCGTGGACCTTCCCGGCGTGCCGTACGAACACAGCAAGTCGGTGTCGCACCAAGAAGACCAAGACGTCCACGACCTTCTCCGGACGTACATGGAGCCGGAGCACGGCCTCATCTTACACGTCGTACCGCTCAACAAGCCATTGGAAGCGATTCGGTCCTGGGACCTCGTGCGGCAGATGGACCCGAGCCTCGACAGGACGCTCAACATCTTTACCATGGGCGACCTCAGCGACGACTGCCCGGACGCCGCGTACATTGCTGCCACCCTCATTCCGCGCGATCTCGTCGTACCGACGGAGGCCATTTTGATTCTGGATCACGACGACGACGCCACTGAAGGTCTCCATACGCTCCTTAACGAACGCATGCTGCAGTACGTCATGGACATGAGTCTGCCAGCGCTCGAGCGACAGATCCAGTTGCACCTCGGAGTGTGCGCGAGCACGCTGGCCAAGCTCGAGCAGCAGTCGTTCCGGCTGGGCTTGCTCATGGCGCGCGAAGTCCACGACGTGGCGCAGTCGATTCAAACCATCTTTGACGCGTTCTTGCCCGAGCTCCGCGTCTCGATGGAGCGCGTCGTGCACGACATTCTCGGCTGGCAAATGACCCCGTTCGGGTCGATCCAGTCCCCTGAGGACCGGCGCCTCGACCTCGCGGGGTTTGAGACTCTGGGCAAACTGTCGGGCGACGCATTGCTGCTACTCGATCTCGTCGTCGAAGTCAAGGAGATGACGTTCCGGTCGCGCGGCGTCGCGAACGAGTCGTTCCACCACCCGCGCATGCCGCTGCAGAAGTGGACCGAGGTCTTTGCGACGCACACGTATAGCATCATGCACACGTTCGTCGACGAGCTCTTTGGGCTCTTCCACGACGAACTCCGCACCAGCGTCCACGGCAACGAGCGCTACACCGACTCGATGCGCCACATTGGCCTCCGCACGCTGCTGAATGCCCTCCAAGCGACGAAAGCAAGGGCGCTTACGGTCGTCGAGAACATTCGCGACTGGAACCTCGGACCGGATTTGTACACGACCAACACGGACGCGCTCGTGGTGGCGTCGCGCCCGAGTGACGCAGAGGCGTCGTTGGTGGCGCAAGCCGTCGAGACGCGGCCGCAGTGGGCCCCGCATTTTGACGCGCTCTTCCACATCCGTGGGTTCCTCCGCGTGCAGCAACACCTGGTTGGAGATGCGATGCAGCGCGAGATCCTACGCCTCTTGCGCGGCTTCATGGCCGACGTCGAGCGGCTCTTGCATGAATGTATGGACGAGATGATGGACGAGACCGAGAAGAGCCCGCGACGACCGCCCTCGACCGAGTGCATTGGCCGCCGCAACGAGTGGCTCGCCCGGCAGCAGGCGTTGTACGAGGCCCTCGCCGGGCTCGGCCGGTACCTTCCGCCCGTGACCGTCGTCTCGGGGCGAGACCCAAGCGAAGTCAAGCGGCGGCGCATGGCGTAGCATGCATAAGCGACTCGATACAGAGACTATCCCATCATCGATCAGCACACAAAACAAGATACAAGTAGCGGATGCAATGACAGGTCGATGTTAATGACGGAAGGACGTCATGGGTAGTCTCGTCGGACGGTGCATGCAGACAGCCTAGAACCTCGACGTGTTGCTGGCCTTGACGGGCAAGACGCCGGGTTTCCGGGACCCGACACGCTTGGCCTTGGGCATCGACGCCGGCTTGAGCGAAAACGTCGCCGTGTTGCCGCGCAAATACTTGTTCTTGGCCCCGTCGACCTTGTTGAGACTCGCGAGCAAGTGGTGCTAATGTCGCATTTTGAGTTTCAGTTTGAATCGGAACAAAGAACGTACGAGGGCCCGCGTGGCCTTGGTGGAGTCGCGCACACGCTTGAGGCGGCTCATGTACCGGCGCGTCGTGCCCTGGCGCCGCAACGACCGCGACGACGCAGCGTTCTCGTCGTCGCCCGCGTCGCCTTCCAAGTCCTGGCTCCCTGTCGAGGCGCGGTGCGCGCTCCGTGCCGTCGTCTCGTCCTTCTAAAAAGCAATCGGATGGTTAATATTTTGATATTTTTTGAAATGTGGTCAATCGTACCTTTTTGTCAAGCTCTTGCTCCCACATTTTGGCGCACGAGTCGTGGAAGAGGTGGCCAGTCGCCTTGATCGAGACGCTCGACGTGTGCCGGTTCCACTTCTCCTTCGAGTTGTAGTGCTGGCCCATGCCAAAGGGCGGCTTGGAGAGCACAACTTTGCAGTAGTGGCACGTCACGGACGCGGGCGCCATGCACTTGGCCTGTGCGCGGCGGAGCACCATGACTTGGTCGTGCAGATCCGTGCTACGCATTTTTGATCAATTCCCAAATTTTCCTGTGAAAACCACACGTACCGAATGAGCGCATTCGCCGTCTGGTAAATGTTGTGCTCGTAGTTGTACGTATCGAGCATGCCGAAAATTGTCGGACGAAAGTCCCCAAACTCGTCCTTCCCGTGCTCGTTGGTGATCTTGAAAAGGATCGCTTGCAGCGAGACGCAGGACGCCATGCGCTCGAGGATGATGCGAATGAGCTCGTTCACAGCGATCTGGAAGACCGTCTGCGCCCCGCGCGTGCTCGTCCGGCCCTTGGTCTTGGACTGCATCGCCTTTTTGACCAGATTCTGGACTTTGAGACACTGGTCGAGGAGCGTGAACCAGAGCTTTTCACTCTGGTCGTCGCGGTGCCGCGCCGAATTGCGCTGACACATGGCAATGGCCACGTCGAGCGTCTTCATGACCTCTTTGCCTTCGGGGACACTCTCGATAATGCTCTCCTGCTGCCACCCGGAGGCCTCGGCCGACGACGCGTTCACACCGCGAAGCGCAGGCTTGAGCACCTTGAGCTGCTTTTCCATACTCGTGAGAATGATCGTGAGCGCGCCGTTGACGTCGCCCGTGCGTTCGAGGAGGTATGCCTCGGCGTCCGTGATCTTGAACTCCTTGCAGAGCTTGAGGCACGTCTCGACCTTGTAGCTGTCGTGAGCCGCCAAGTACGGAAAGACCTGCGTCGGGTCAAACTCGCAGAGGAGCCGGATAAAGCGCTCCTGGACGGCGGGGTCTTCGGCCATTTGGAGCACCGCCTTCTCGCGCTCGAGAAGGTCGCGGATGACGTCGGCCGCGTCGTCGCCATCGCCCGACGGACTCCCGAGGATGTGTCGGAGGTACGTAAACTCCCACTTGGCGCCCGTTTTGCCGCCGACACTCATAAAGCGCTGGATGAGCTTCGCGTTGAGCGAGGCAAAGTTCTCGAGCATGAGCACGACAAACGTATGTGCGTCGACGTCGAGGAGGCCGCCGCAGTGGTTGACGATGCCCATTTCAATGTCAGCCTGGCGCGCCTTGGCCGCCTCGCTGTTGGCCGCATCGCCATCGGCTTCAACCACCTTGTCGCGTTCTAGCCAGCCATCTTCTGCAATTTATTTCTATCAAATCCAAGCTCGTACCGGAGCGGATGTAGGAAAAGACGCTGAGCTTGTACTCGAGGTCGGCGTCGGCCAAATACGCCGAGATCGTCTCGTTGAACTCGCCACGGGCCTTGTGCAGCACGACAGCCGCGCCTACATACGACGCCTCTGAGACGAGATTCCGAGGATGAGGCAACGTACGGTTCATTGACTCCTTTGTGACACGCCGGAGGAGCGCGCCTTGGTCGTACGACGTCGGTGACAGCGTCTGGAGGAGGCGCACGAGCATTACTTGGCGCCCGGCCTTGTCAAAGCCTTCGTCGTCGTCCGTCGCGAGCGCCTGCGGACCCGACGCGAGGAAGTGCAGGAGCGAGTCCATCATCCACTGGCTGTTGACGCTGCGCGCGCGGGCGTAGCTCGGTGCGTCAATCGCGCCGCTGCTGAGGAGCCGCGCCTCAAACATGTAAAAGTGCCCTTGGTCCGAAGGGCTAAAGTACGGCGACGACGGGAACGGCGAGTCGTCCGTCGGCGTCCCGACCAGAATCGACGCGAGGCTGAGCACCATCTCCATGCGCGACGGGCACTTGAGCGTGAGGTTGCTGTAGCGCTGGGACGTGGTCGCCGACGTCGCCTCGCCGTCAAACTCGACGCTCGCATCGTCAAAGAGCCGCGCAAGGATCTCAAACACCATCTTGGCGTCGAGCTGGATGAGTGGAATGAGCCGCGGGTACGACGCGTCGCCGTGGCCCGGCGGGTGCCGTTCAAAAAGGTGCTGGGCGACGCTCGCAATCATGCGCTGGTGCCGCGACGCCGTGTGCGGGTGGGACGCCACGACCTCGCGCTTCGGGAAGGTCTTGCCCATGAGCATGTAGGAAATGTAGAGGAGGCACTTGTACAGAATCATGCGCTTGGCCCGTCCGGTCGTCTCGTCCGAGTCAAAGAGACTCTCGTCGAGCGGCAGTGGCGTGCTCGCGCCGGCTGCCGCCAAGAGCAAGTCGATCGGCGTCGTGTAGTCTTGCTTGGCGTCGTTGTAGAGGTACACCATGGCCGTGTGGAGGTGATGGGTCTGGCACACGCGCAGCATCGCGTCAAAGTCCATGTCGCGGACGCGGAGGTGCAAGAGGCACTTTTCAACGAGCACGAGGTCGCCTTGCGCGAGAAAGTGCGACACGAACGCATCGAGGACGGTCGGCGAGAGCACTTGGAGCTGGTCGTTGAGCACATAGGGCGCGAGGAGCCCCACAAACACGTGCGCTTTCTCGACGTCTTGAAATCGCTTGAAGATGTCGCCAAAGAGCAAGTCGGTGCGGTGGATCTGCGCGCAGTACTCGATCGCGACACCGGCCAGCATTTGATAGTGCGAGATCGCGAGGTCGGCGACCGAAGAGGACGATGGCGCATTCCCGATCGCGAGCCGCACATAGTCCATGAGGAGGTCGGCCACGCGCTCAGCGACGCCGATGGGCACGACGCTCTTGGTGACGGTGCCAGACCGGGCGTTCTGGAACGCCGCCTCGAGCCGCTTGGACACGTCGGGCGCATACGGCGCCTCGCCGACGCACCATCGGACGCCTTCGTCCGCATTGTCTTCGTACCGAAACACGTCTTCCTTGTCGCCTGTGCGCTGGTTGGTTTGGCACATACGGAAGATGTCGACGACGCACTGGTCCTTGTGCGAGTCGGTGAAGAAGACGGGCGGGAACCGGTCGCGCTCGGCGCGCGTCGCCGCCGCTTTCGTCAGCCCGTCAAAGTGGTCGAGCGCGAGCCCGAGGCCCTCGAGCCACTCGCCGTCTTCGATGAGAGCATCAATGCGCTGCGTCCACGGTTGCACGCGCGCGGTCTGGAGTTCCTTGAGGCCGAGCAAGTAGAGCATTTCGTTGCACGCGCGAAAGCTACAAAAACCTGAAACTTGTATCAACTTGATACATACGGCGGCGACACGCGTACCTGTTGGCAAAACTCCGGCCGTTGTTGCCGCGGTACGACGCGTACACGAGACCCATCGCGCTCACATCGACGATCTCGAGCTCTTGGCGGCTCATTGTGTCGTAGACGCAGAGCTCGTCTTGGTACGTGAGGTACATGACAACGTGATCGCCAAGCCACTGCGTCGCGACGACATCGCTCGTCGTGCTCATGTGGTTCGTCTCGGCGAACGTCGGCCAGCCGTCCTTGGCGTGCACGTGGCGCGGCTGGAAGAGGATCTCGAGAAACTGCATGTGCTTGCCCCACCCGCGCGCCAGCATCGGAGTCGGCGTGTCACTGCGCGCACCGCCAGGCAGCGCGACCCACGCAAACGCCAGCGACGGTAAATTGTCGTTGGTGAGCCCATCTACAGATTGATACCAAATATTGATACCAAATATTGATACAAACGATGGATCGTACCTGGTTTGAACCAGCGGTGGAGAATGCGCACCTCTGGCTCGATGGCCACGAGGAACGTGACCTTGTCGGTCGAGATGGCCGCGATGCAGTACGTGTCGGTGATGTGCCCGACCTTGGCATGGCCCGCGGTCTGCGGCAAAATGGCGACGCTAAGGATCTTGCCCGCCGACCCATCGTAGATCGGGTCCGTGTCGACGACGTAGACGTAGCCCATCATTTTGGAAAAGTTGATTTTGTTGGCCATGCCACTAGTCGGAGCATGAGCAGGATGCTCCAGAGATGGAAGGAAGGGTGACGTACTTGGCGTCGACCGAGAGAATACACGGCTTTTGGTCTTTCATGAAGAGAAGACTCACGACGGGGCAGTCGTGCGCGTCGGCGACGACCTTGAGCGACGTGCCCTTGAGCATGTCCCACAGCACGATGCGCCCACTTTGGTAGCCGCACACAAGAAAGTCGCTGCCCGGCGAGACGTCAATGGCCGTCACGGCGCCATCTACGTGGTACCCTCAGGTGCCTGTGAACGAGAGAGGAGGTACCCGAGTACTGGTCGTGGCCAGCATCCATCGTCGTGTTGCGGAGGACGTGGCGGATGTTTTGAAAGTGGTCAAAGACGAGCACGAGGCTCTTGCTCGTCCCGATCGCGATGAACTTGGGGTGGATCGCGACCACGGTCGGACTCCCGGGGCCGTTCTCACGGAACTCGGCGTTCTTGGCGAGCTGCTTGGAGATCGTCTGCATCGGTTCGACCTTGACAACGCCGCTCCCGCCCGTCGACTGCTTCTGCTTGAGCTGCAGCGCGATCTTCATCTTGTCGAGCGTGTTGGTCTCCTTCCGTAGCTTGAGCGCCTGCTGGTGCACGCGCATGCGGCGCTTCACCGCGAGCGGGCTCACGAGCACCTCGGTCGGCGCCGCAAGGAAGGCGTCTTCGATCGCTTGCGCCACCTCGAGCGGTGACTTGGTCAACGCACCCACGGTCGATGGGCGGGGCTTGAGCGTCGCACGATGCAAGAGCGGGTTCTCGACCGACAAGCCCAAGCTTGAGGCGGCGGCCGGCGCCGGCGCCGACACTGACGATAGCCCATCGAGCTCTTCGTTGAGGATCTCCTCGAGCGTCAAAGCCGCTTGGATCTCGTTCAGGTCCAGATCCACGAGGTCCTCGTTGTCGCTGTCTTCGGCGAGGAGCTTGTCGACTTCGCTGAGCTCCATCGTGGGCGGCTGCTGCTACTGACGCCTCGGGAGTTTACGATTGGGGCTTGATCCCGCTAAGTCCGAGCCCTCGCAAGATACTACGGGCTAAACGCACTCAACTAAAAGGCAGCCAACTGTCCACCTGCGCTTCTATCGTTTGCGACTTCGCTCTCGCGGCTGCCTACAGTGATCTCTACATTGCATTTAGAGGTTGTTCCAACGCAGCAAGTAGGTCGACGCAGCGTCAGTTGGGCTTGATCTCGCTCGGTCGCGGCTCGGTGGCAAAAGTATGGTCGCACTTAATCGAGCCCAATTTCAGTCAGTTTGAATCATTCACACTATTTCACACCTCTCGATGATGTTTTATAGTGTTACACGATGGCGTGGCAGCATGAGAGACAAGCAAGGAACCAAAATGGCGTCGTCGCAGCATGCTGCGCCGCGGATCGTTGTAGGTACAATTGAACGCGATGGATGCCCTCGAGTGAAAGCAGTAGGAGGACACTGATGTATCGTCCTATATGCTCTGGCGACCTACTGCGAGTTGGCTAGTTTGTGTTGCTGTGAAGGGACGTCTCTGGACTGATTGGACGAGTTGCGCTGATGTGGACAAGCGGACGATGGACAGTAACCTCTAGCCTACATCATCCATACTATCTGCCGAGTGCAGAAGTATCCGTCGATCGATGATGTTAGTTTTCTACAAGCGCGTGGACCGGCTACCTTCCTCGCCGAGATCGTTTATCTCGATGCAGCGTCTTGCATCATCCCTGCCGTCCTTGCCAGCCCTTGCCGATATGCAAGTAACATAGTGTACGTAGTTACATGTAGGGTTGTAAAATCATCGTGCGAAGGCGGCAGTCGCACGTCGTCTCCTCGAGGCACCCAATCAAGCACATATGTGCGCTAAAGAAGCTGTCGCGAAGAGGGCAAATGATGCATATATCGTGCTCGTCTATTGGGCTTGGGTCTCCTCCGTGCTCGAAGCGGACGGTCCGTGTGTTCGTCGTCGGCCTCATTCTTTTGTTTGGGCTCACGCGCGCAGGTTTGCTAGGTATTGTCTCTGCTTCTTGGTCGATTGTCGTACGCGTCACGCGTGGTCGCTCTTAGCTGAAGTTGTGTCGGCCCTTGGCTTGCACAATGTGGTGGCGGTGGCGCCGCGCGCGCAGCCGCCGGACGACGCGCTTGTATACGACGTAGGCCACGGCAGGTAGTGCCAGAAGGCCCGTATTTGTGAGGCCAAACGCGGACACGAACAAGTACCGGTCGGCGCAGAGCCCAATCGTGAACGCGATCAACTGCGCGGCCAAGAGGATCGCGACGCTCGCGATGAAAGCAGCGACAACGTGCAGTGAGAAGCCCGAGTCGTCGGCGGCAGCGGCCTACGCAAGGCGATCGCATGAGCGCTGGCGCCACATTGCACGTGGAGATCACTACCTTTGGCGACGGACTGCGTGGCATGCGTGTTGCTGCGTCAAGAAATTGGCGTGTGTCGGCTGCCCATCCGGATACGCACCGGTCCCATTTTTGAACCAGATGGTGCCGGTAATCAGCTTGATTACCGCAGAAAGGCGCCACAGCGTTATCACCCGCGTCAGCGCGGCGTTGACGGCGCCCTCGCTTGCTGCTCCTGCTGCTGCTACGCTGTGCTGCGGCTCGAGCGCCGCGCGCCGTCGCTGGGAGGTTTCGCTGTCAAGGCGCGTCCATGAGCCGCTCCCCACGTGAATGATTACCAAAACGACCCACTTTGATAAACGTCGCCGTTGCAAGTCGTGCGCTCCTGACTCGGCCAAGGCGGCCCCTCGAGTGCTGCGTACGTGACGTGTCCCAGGGTTTGCGTGCGTTGATGCTAGCCACGGCCCACCGTCGCACGTTCTGTCGACGCTACCGGGCGACAATCGCTCTGGTACAACCACGCACAGTTCGTCGTAGTACAAAATGTAGCTCGAACGCTGCAGCTATTGATGCAAATATTCGTGTTTGTGTTTGCCCGCGCTAGTCCAAAGACTGGACGTGGACGTGGTCACATCTGGTGACAAATGTGGTGAATTCAAAGCGATGAAAATAATGGCGCGCACCAGTTACTCTGACTCTGGTTTCGCACGATGT